TCTTATCACAACCCATGAGTCTCTTTTCCTTCACTGCTTTAATTGTTCTCCCGCATCCCCAGGAAGGGGGAGGATGAGCAAGCAGCTGTGTAGAAGTTGTTTGCTGCTAGCCATGTGGGTCAAAACCACACCACCCGCTTACAGCAGTATCAGCCCTGAGCTTAGACCAGGTCTCTCAGAGCTTTATTAAATTGGGGCTTGAAGCCTCCAAGGATGGAGAACAGACTGCTTCTCTGGGCAGTCTGCTCCACTGCTTGGCTGTCCTCACTGAGAATTTCTTTTTTACTTAGATCAAGCCTGAAGCTCTGTTGTTTAAACTTATACCCATCATCTTTGATACTTACACCTTACTCCAATGCATAGAGCTTGGCTCTGTCTTCTTGCTGATTTCGCTGTAGGTTTCAGGGGCTGCTGTCAGGTTCCCCACAAAGCTGAACCAGCCCTGGTCCTCAGCCTGAAGGGCACGAAAAGTGCTCCAGACCTGCACATCCTGGTGGGCTCCCCCATACTCACTCCTGTTTATCAGTATTTTTCCTGTACTGGAGGATGTAAAATTGGAGGCAGTATGTGGATGTCGTCTTACAAGTGTTGAGTAGAGAAGGATAACCACCTCCCTCAATTGACTGGCCATGCTTATACAGCCTGTGATGCAGCAGGCCTCTGTTGTGGTTAGGGACAATGAAACCAGGGACAATGATAGCAATGGAACAGAAGTATTTACAGCTCGTGCAGTCCTAATAAGTGTGGAGAATTTCAATTTCACTGCTCACCACATTCCCAGCTACTATTAGTTACATAACCTGACCCCAATTATCACAACTCTTAAAACATGGAAGCCAACTATCTTCCCCAGGTGAATCATTAAAACATACAGCTGGTTCTGACACCTATTGACCTTCCTGCCTTTATTTGATGTTTGCTTAGTCTGAGTGATTGAATTGCTGCAAAATTTCACTCTGATGTTAAATGATTATGGCATTTCTAGACAAGCTGCAATAGAACTCTAAAATATCATGAGGACAAGCAGAAGAAATCACAGTCTGAATGTCAGAGAAATATTTTTGTAATGTCAGACAACGTTATAGAATTTTACGTCAGAAAGAAGCAATTTGGGACTGAAATAATCTCAGTGAAAAGACCTTTCAGAATATAACTGTTAATGGCAATAATACAGCAAAAAACCTGAAAAGGAACACTCACTTTGATTGTTTAATAAGAGCAGTAATAATACAATTTTTCTCAGCCATTTACGTCACAAAGGTGTACTAAGGTATTAAGAGATGGCATGCTTTTAGGGGGGTAGGGACCAATAATGTGAGAAAAAAAATCCAGAATTTCTGAAGGAAAAATTAATGTAAAATCATAGAATTTTGACATAAAAACAAGGTGCAAGGTGTTGGGAAAAATGTTAATTGTATGAGAAGATATAATAAAATATATAAATATGAAGTATAGTTTCATAATATCTGTATCATATATTTATATCAAGTATACCATTGTCATGCTATATTATTCTATATATTTTATAGTATAATAATATCTAATATAGCACATATTATCTATAATAGATGATATATATAATATATATTTGTATTGTACTGACATATTAATATATGTTCTCATATACAGCATAATTGTGTTTTACATATTACAATAAATATTCTATTCTATTCTTTCAGTCATTGTACTGGAAATTGCTAACTGTGACTTAGTACAATTTTTTGCAATACTCTTTTTGTATTAGCAGTGGTTTTTAAAATGAAAATTTTCTGTAAAGTTCAGTTTTACAGAAAATTAAAAAAGCAATGGGTTGTAGTATTTTCTGAGTTCTACATGTTAAATTTCACACTAGAAAAAACTATGAAGTAAGTCTAAACTCTCTTGTAAGATTAACAATAACATATTAGTAGCACTTTGAAGCTGCAGGAAAGAAGAAGACTGTTATTAAGATTTTTTTTTTTTTTTAGTCTGAGGTTGCAGACATCCATGAGAGTTTAATTAAACACAATTTTAATGACATTTATTTTCTTCTGCACCTTGGGATAGGTGGAGAACAACACAACAAGAAAGATCCACTAGCAAATACCCATTTCTTGGAAGTGTTGTCAACAAGGAAAAAATATTTATTCTTGGATGCACAAGTGTGATTTGAATACTTCCCAGAGAGATTATTACTTATCTGCTTCTATCCCTCTCTAAAACTAAATTATACAATTCTGCTTCATAGGGAATATCCCTTTATTAAAACTTTTTTTTTTTTTTTTTCTCTTTCTGACAGACATAAATTCTTCAGAACAACTCTCTGGCATACCATATAAAAATGTGGAGGAGAAGGTTTATTTGCGATACACTTAGTGCTTTTTGTTAAATGATTCAGAGAAAGATCATAAGTTCTCATTGCATCAGTGTTCTATTCCTTGTAGGACATCTACTTAGAGATAAAAATAATTGTTTATGCCCACAGCAAAATAAAGTAGACACGTAAACAGTTCCTTGAATTGAATTGCCATAAACTATGCACTCCCTTGACTAATTTTCCAAGTTAGAGTTACTTTTTTAGGTACTTCTCAGCAATCATGCATCGTAACTCAAATAGAGTCGGGCAGAAGTTGCCCATTCTTCATTTCACAGTTTTTATTTTCAGTCTTTTATTTAATGTTGCATTACTGTACTTGGTTTCTTTATGTTAGCTTTTATGGATTGACTCGCTTCAGTGGAGTGGGCTACTTATAGAAAACCAAACCATATTTGCTGAGACAAAGCAGAAAAGAGTGACCTAAAATAAGAAAAATAATAGCAAAGGCAACACCAGTGTAGTTATTTTTATGTATAGCATTCAATTAATATATTAATGATTTTTTCCAGCATTTATGATAGAGTTAACTACCTATATTTCTAAGATACTAAAATACAATGAAAGTAGTAATTGTATTCTAGAAGAACAGGGCCATTTAGAGAAATTAGCCCATAGGATATGGTGACTCTCAAATCCATACATATGAAAGCACTCACCCTTTTCTGTCACCTTTAAAATATATTAGTGATTCACTTCTATATTCCCTTTTCTTCTGTACAATATAATATGTCTAATAAATTGCATGCCAGCGCTGCTGGTATCAGATTGAAAAATGTATCTAAATATAATGAAAGTTAAGATTCAAATTGACCTATGTTGACTGAGTAGGTTAACAGGAAAGATTTCGAAGTATATGAGGACAAAAGAAACTTTTGGGCCATTAATAGATAGAAATTCTATGTTTTTCGTAAAAAAGAAAGAGTCATCTCCATTATTTTTTGTCATTTTGCAAGAAAAAGATATTGATTAAAACCTAATAAAGAGATTCAGTTAGTAGACTTTTTAAAAAATTACACCATTCCAATTTTTATTGTTGTTTTCTTTGCAAGAACTGACTGGAAATACTACAATTTATTAATATGAAATTCCAATAGGTATTAGAACATATAAACTGAAAGAAAGCTAGTATGCCAACATTAAGTATAATAAAAGGGTAATTATAATCTGTAAGCATCAGACTCATTCTTGGCCCAAAACCAAAGAAAAACGAAGTGATGATATAGGTCTTAATTGATTAAAACATAATATAAGGGTAGTGTGATGAAATGTGGAGACAGTATATAATTCAGAATGACTTTATATAAAGTAAATTTGGCCAAACTTTTGAGGGACTTCAGTACTGGTAAAAACAATACTCGTGAGGTGAGATACTTGTAGTCTAGTAAGATATTTAATGGTGTGTCACATACTTGGTTGAATAATAAAAAAAAAAGAAACAGAAATGTACAAAATCAACTGCAAAATCATAGTACAAGCAGGTAAGTGCAAGTGGGTAATCTATTTAATGTAAGTTCTCTGTTTGATATTTAAACAAAATAAACCCTAGTGTGAGCTTTACGTATAATACTTTATTTAGAAATTATCTGTGTTAACTGTGATATCTTAATTAAAGCAAAACAGTAAATTTCTAAGTTTAGACAAAAAAAGATCTGTTTCACCTGTCTGCAGTAGCCTGAGAAATCAGTGCATGTCTTTGACTGTTAATAATAGAAGTATCTATATACTGAGTGTTCACTTCTTCCTCTTATTTGGCTTTACAATATTAGTTTATTTTTGTCCTAACCTCAATCTAATCAACATTATTTTGATCCTCTTCACTGTTTCCTGTTTAATCAAGAAATTTAATAGAAGTCTGTGATTACAGTTTTATCCTATATAAAAAGAACTCAAGGTTAAATGATTGCATTAAAGAAGTTAAAAGATGCGTTTTTTAGTGAAAGCTTCTTAAGCTTAATTGCTTTGTTTAAGTCAGCCAAAATCTGAGGTGATATGCTGAACTTAAACAGAGTTTCACAGAGTAAGAACATTCCAATAATGTTCTTGAAAGAGGGAGAGGAAATAAGAAAAATATCTAGTGGCCAGGATTTTAAGTTAGGCCAAAGAGCTGAGTATGTGTGCATATAAAAATGTATGCACAAACTGACCATAAGAGCATTTGTGGATTTTCCGTAAATGGACAATTTTTATTTTAATTGATTGAATATTTTTCTTAGAATAAATGTTCTTCTGCAAAAGAGAATTGATTCAGGGAATTTATAGAGTCTGTGGCATATCAGAGGTCAAAGTAGATCACAGTTTTCCCTTGTGGTCTTTTAATCTATGACTCTTATAATAAGCTGCAATGTAGTGTGGCTGGCAGTAGAGATACAGATGGGACAGCTGAACTCCACAAATTCTCAGAGGCAAACAGTTGCCAGCTGCTCAGACTTCATAACATTAGGAGGATTGCTTTAGAAGAAGCAATTTGCACACTGCTCGTAATTTTGGCCTCCTCTCTGCTGTGCTAGATGAAGGGAAATTTTTGCATGTAGCAAAACTGACAGAAGTATCATGCAAATATTGAAAGAAATAGATGTAACTAAAGCATATAATAGGTAGTGATGATTTTCCTGCTTGGTTTTGCATAGGAATAAATTGAAAAACCCCTCCCCCTGCCCCTTACACACACCCCCCAAAAAACCAAACCAAAACTCAAAACAAACAAAGAAACCAAAACATTAAGATACAAATAATAGATGATCACATAATTTAAAGACCACTTTAAGTGGCCAACTCGGGAGGAGCAGACCAAAGACAATAGGCAAAATCCTGTTGTAATCTACTGGTAGTTTAACTAAGACCAGATAACCCAGTAGTGCAGATAAAACAGGCTAATAGGATCTATAATCTACAGTGAGAATGCTTTCTACAGTATTAACCTTCTACATTACTATTACAGTGCACTTGTAATCTGATTACAGTGACATTCCAGTGAAATTCAAAGATCCTGTACATGTAACAGAGACCAGAAGCTGGCTCTTACAGAGAACACTCTCTGCTGGAAGCTCTCTCGGTACCTTTCAAGTGTTACACTAAATCCCCTTCAAGAAGGGAAAGACATAAGGCACATTAAATGTCATCTTCACAAAGACTACAGTTGCTTTGCGAACACAACTAGCACGTCCAGATTTAACAGCAGTGTGCCTTAGCTGCATCAATCTGTATGACGTGTAGTATTTTGTGTGTCATGTCAATTAGAGATTTGATTTCTTTGGGAAAGAGGGAAGGCTAGTAAAAAAAAAAAGTACGGTATATACTGTTTGGCAACATAGGATCTTTATTTTCTCTGCCTCAGCATTCACTATTCCTTCTGGAGCTTCACACTGGAAGAATGAATGATTCAACACTTAGAGATATCACAAAGAATTGATACAAATAACAAACAGATTTGTTTTGATTAAAAACTTGAAGGGTGCTACAATTTGCAATTGCACAGTTGTTTTGAGAGTCACTTTTATTATCTTTGCGACATTGAAATGCCTAACTTATCTGTCTTGTTCTCATTTGTCCCTTTTTTCTCTTTGCAATTTCAAGTTGGTAAAACTAGTTGATATATGAAAAATGAAAGTAATTTTTGCAAAATAAATATGCTGCTGTTTTATTTATAGCAAACAGGATCTTGTTTTTTGACTCATAGGAAGACTGAAGTGTTACTACTCAGATAAAGTGCTAAACATTATTTGATTTTCTAACTATATGGTGTTTGGCAGTTTCAGAACACTGAATAGGAGACTGTGAGCCAGGTATGTTAAACTGAAGAAATTATTTTCCCGCCCTGATTTACAGCAGTGTAAGACACTTTGTAATATACTTTTGCTAGATCTGTATTTAACCTGCTTTGTTACAGTAGTTTAACATTCGTAAATCACACAGTTTTCAGAGCTGAGAAAAAGAACAACTAGATTAGCGAAGACAGGAAATTAAGAGAGGAAGAATAAAACTTCTTATCTGTGCCCTCCCTGAAGGACTTCATTCTGATTTACAAAGATCATTCAAATGCTTCATTGAAGCTAATTGTGTCATTACTCTGCTGGACTGTTACTGTTTCTATTGTCTCTCTTCTAATCACTAGAGATCTTTTACCAATTTAGTATAAATTACTAGTATTAAACTTCCCATTGTGTTTGAATTACTGGTAAGAGCCAGCCCATTGTTTTTCAAATAGCTGTTATATACTTGACTCATAACTGTCGTAAAGTTTGCTCTGTGGGTGCCATAACCTGAAACAGTGGAGGAACACAGGATTAAAATTTATTCCAGTGTGTAAGGCCACTGCCTTCGGCTGACAGCACTTTGCAGAGGAAGATAACTCCAAGGAGCCCATCAGGCAGCACAGGAGAGTGAGGTGCAAAGCCATGCTTTCCTCTCCCAGCCTAAGCCATCTGTTCACAGCTCTGCCCTACCACGTAAAAGTTGTCCTGATAGCTGCTCTAACTTGTGATTGCTGGCAGTGCTCCCAAGTGGCAAATGTCACAGCAAGCAATTGCCAGAATATGTATGAATATCCTGCCATGCTGCTTTTCTAGGTGTGGGATCTCAACCCTGATTAAAACTCTGCTAAAAAGTCAGGAGGAACAAGTGAATGGACTTTGATTTCACTTCACTGCGCTGTGGACCAGGCCTCTGTGTACACTGTATCAAGGAGTCTGATTTTGCAGACAAGAGAGAAATTTGCAAATTTTTTTTCTCCCCCCTCCACTAAAAACAAGAGAGTGCCTGGAACAAAAATCATAGTTTTCCATAGTATTTAGACCCAGATCACAGCATTATCAGGAGAATGTGTGATAGCCTTATTCAATTAGGTCAGAAGGTATTGAATGCCTTATTTGATTTAGAAAGCAATATAGCTTAGTAAAGAACTACAAATACATCTGTAAGAATTCAGGAATAGTAACAAGGTACTTCTAGTTAAACACCATAAATGCAGATCATGTTTTTATTAGAAGAGGGTGTTATTAGAGATTTTACATAAGCTTTTTAATCATTGAGAACAAAATCTAACAAATTAAGATTAAATGCCAGTTTAAAGAAAAATCAAACCAGCAAAATCTGTGTTTGATCTTGTAACCTTTTTTTGAGTGAAACTGACTTATATTGGATTTATCATGTAAGTAAGAATGCTTATGAGTTCCTAAAATGCAGCCAACTAAACGTACCTTATTCCTTCCACAGTAATTACTGGGACCTGTATCCTGCCTTCTTTGTGATATCTGGTAAAACTTCTCTGGACTACAACACCACTTTTTTCCTTGTTACATGAGAAATATACATAACAACTGTCACAGTTATAGTTTGTGCTAGCTAATGTAGGTATACTACTTAATTCAAAGCTGCTATGTTTGTTTACTTCAGAAAAGGATAAATCAGGCACTAGCTGGACTGTCTGGCTGAGATACCAGGTGTTAATTGGCTTTTGGTTGTCTGAACTGAGCACCTCAACTACACTTGCCGAAACATTTTTGTGTTTCTCCAAGAACCTCACTTTTTGTTTTTTAGACTAAATAGGAGGCTTCTGTGGAAATTAGACTCTCTGAACATTGCAACCCCTTTCCAGACCTGCGCTCTTTGCTTCGTATAATTGGTTATAAACTTATACTGTCAATTTTAGATAGCACTGTATCTATCACTTAATATTTCATTTTGACAACCAGGACCATTTTGGAATTCAGCGTCCTTCAACACAGAGACGTCCTACCTGCATTTCCCCACCTTCTATGGAGAGCTCAGCGCAGATGTCTCATTTTTTTTTAAAACTACTGCTTCCTCAGGAGTGTTTTTAGAAAATCTGGGAATTCAAGACTTCATAAGGATAGAGTTATACTGTAAGTAACATGAATGATGGTTCAGTTCAGTTGGACTAAATTAAAATTAAATGGGGAGTATTTGAAAACTGTTCTCTAGCTTTATTGGTATTACTACTGCTATTGGCCCTTCATCTTTCCCCCAGAAATTCCATCACTGAGACTGTACAAATATCCATTCAAAGATAATTTCTGCCCCAGAGGGCTTTTAATCTAAGAGCGCAGCAACCAGCCCCTGACTGTTCAGTCTTTCCCTTGCTCACTGCATCCCTGCCACCAGATTCTATCCCTTCAGATTTTAAGTCCAGGCATTACATGTGGCTGCTGGAAGGTTCACAGAGTCTGTGACTCAGACCTTCTGTGGCACAGTATCCTAGCTTAGTCACACTTTCTCATACCTTTTTTTTTTTCTAATTTTATTTGTACATACCCAACAAGTCTTTAGACTTATACAAACAATTTTTTATTGCACACAGAAAATTAAACATCTCAATAAATTCAGTAGGAACACTAATGTAGAATGAATGCTATGTCTTAGCTGACTCAATGTTTTATTCTTATATTGTTCATTATTAAAAGGGAGACTATTTAAAAGGATGAAATATTGTTTCAAAAAGCTTTTGGATTAATTTGAAATGGCACATCAATTAAGAAGCCTTACACTTGACAGGTGCCTTTGAGAGTTCTTTAGAATTTTTAATTTAGGTTTAGGCAGTTCCTCATTCTTTCACAAATGCATTGTGTTGTCACACTCAAGTATTTTCCAGTGAAGAGTACAAAAAATTATATATATATGTACATCCTATAATGCAAAATAATATTATAGAAATGTTAGAGCATTTTTATTAGAAAATAAAATTTTATACCTACTTTTTTTTGACAATGTTAATTTCATAGGTTATTGAAACAAACAGGAAAACACCTACTGTTTTCTTCTGTAGGCAGTTTAATTATAGAATATTGCATAATGCTTAGTCAGTTTGGTTTGCGTGATCTCAAACTGTAGTGTTATATTTGGAAGATACCCTGTTTTCAACAGTGTTTTTGCCGTGTGTATCAAGAGTGTGAACTGCCTTCTGTTAAAGTTCTGTGAACATGTGAAAACACAGTAGCATTATAACCTCAGTGTCATGTAATACAGAAAATGTACTGATTCAGCACTTCAGTGGAGAACCTCTGAAGTAATTATGATTTTCTTGTGCGATAAGTTATTTTCCATTTTCAAAATAAACAGTTAAAGCATGGAACATTAAAGGAATCCTTCTGAGAACTAGATTTATTCAGACAGTTGGCAGAAGATCATAACTCTTCAGAATAATAATATGTAGACAAACTCATGTCACTTGTGCCATTCATTCATAAACATCGAAACTACTGTATACTTATGGGTTTTATGTGACTTGTAACTAGTGAGGAATGAGAGAAAGTGAAAGGCAGAATTGGTCAATCTTTTCAGCATTTAAAAAACAAATTTTGTCTCGTTGTGTAATGTACAGATATTTCATCACTTCCAGAAACATCCTAATTTGTTGAACAGACAGACCTATTCTTTTTTGTACATCATAGGTAGATTTGTTTGTGGTGGAGCTGGAACTGTGTGTTTGCACTGAGGGCACTATTGGCCAGAAATGAGCAATGTTACTTTCCATCACAACTACCTCTCTCTCAAAAAAAAAAAAAAAAAATCACCTTGAACATTTTTATTGTAGAGGATTATTTACATTTCATCATCATATATTCTTTTATAATAAATGTGAATTATTTTCAAATAAATATGAATGTAAATGACCAACCTACACTTGATATTCCCTTTATAGTCATACATAAGTCAATGTCTTTTCTTGATTTGTGCAATGATCCCTTTTTTTACAGAATTATAAAAAACTCTAGCCTATGAATTTTTGTCTGAGTTCCTGTAATCTTCTGCAGAAGTAGTGTTTGAAAGCAACAAGGCTGATTCAAATCTGAATAGTATTCTTTATTAAGTATTTATGTGACTACAGGTTATGTCCTCTAACTGAAAGTCTGAGTAACTTTTATACTATTTGAGTGCTCACTGAAGCATTATTTCCTATTTAAAAGCAGTAAATTTAAAAAAGTAGAAATGTAAAAAAAAAATAAAGTATACATTTAAAGAAATACATAGTAGTTTTGGGAACACTATGATATACTCATTTGGAGGGTCTGCTGTGGTTGCTTTGGAAATAGTTCTGAGGAGTCCAATATGCAGCTGCTGTTGGCCTTCATTGGCCCAAATTCACAACTTACTGTCCAGGTTGAGTGGAATTTAATAGTTTCCTTTATAGAAAATGCCTGGGTTTTGTATTCTGCAGCTGATCACTTGGTAATCACTTTCTGCTTCTATATGTGATGTTCAACCTCGATATGCTGATTGGTTCTTGATGACTGTGCTTTCTGTTAGTCATTTTAGCCATGGCTAGCCACTGACCACTCTCCATGATTACCATCAACTGCATCTTCCGCTCCACTTTGCCAATCTATAGCTGTGCTCTGCCTATGTTTGAATACATTAGGGCCACAGGAATCCCTGCAATGTTTGGGAAGTTTTGGAGTAACACCAAGGTAGGTAGGACCCACAAAGTATTTTTGCACCAGAAGATAACTCCTGGATGTACCACCCCCTGCTGCCCAGGAAATTATCAAAGTGCTCTTTGTGTTGGTCCTTTTTTGCAAGAGGACAAATTTTAGAACTCAGTCAGCATCTCTGCACGTCCTGTGGCATACCTTCCACAGGTGGTTCAACAACTGTGTTTACAAATGCCAAATTTCTTCCAAACTTGCAGTATAGGTGGTTGTAGCAGAATTATTAAAAAATATTACAGAATGCTAACACTATGTTTTTCAGTTTTTCTGACATATTCTGGTCAGTCTTCAGACACTCCAGAGGATAACCATATGGTCATCCTCACCATCTGGGTCTTCATCTCTGGAACTTCTGTGATTGGTTCCCTTTTTTCAAGATTATGTTACTTTTTTAACGGTACTAACATAATTCATTATTTCAGTGGCTATTTCAAAATCTTTATTATGTATTTTCTTTCCTTTATATTCTAAACAGTAACGTTATTTATCAGATATGTCATTCTGATATGGTATTTAATAGGCACATTCAGTGAGTTCAAAGCAGAATTTGTGTTTTCAGGCTTCACTCCAACAGTATCCAGAGGATTACAAAGACCTCCCTACAGAAGGTAACATTCAGCAGAAATTCTCTTTACCTGGTCACATGGAGTTTCTGTTGCTTTTGTTCTCCTACTGTGTGGTTGTTGTTTTGTTTTATTTTTTTTTTTACCTTTGCCCCTCAGTAAGGGAAGACTGAGCTCTCAAATTGTCCAAATGAAGCAAATTTATCCTAAAATTCATTTTACTAAGGAGCTGGTTTTAGACATTTCAATTTAGTTATTTCTTATTATTGTATAAAACACTGTTGATTTTTAAGCAGAAGAGATTATTTATTACAAAAGGTGTTCTGTTTAAAAATTGACAGCACATTATGCCTTATTTTATTTGGAAATGCTTTATGTATTTGTCATTTTACTTTTCTCTCTCAGGTTCGACTGTATGAGAAAAATACTTTATAACAACCAGATTCAGGGTTTAAGGGATTGCAAGCATGTGGCATTACTCAGTCTAAAGGTTGGCCAAAGTGGACCTAAATGTTGTAAAAAGTCTAATGTACCTTTAAAAAGTGCAAAGCAAGTAAAAATACATAATTGAAATATTTTTAATAGAGAAAATTAATCTTTGAAAATGTTGTTTGAAGCTGATTTATTTCCCTTGACTGCTTCTAATTGTTTTGCTTTTCTCTCAGAGTTCAGTGACATTAATGGGAACCTTTCTGTTGGATTCATGGAATCTTCTCAGACTTTTAGTTCTTTAATCAAATCCTTAATAATTCAAAATGCTGTTAATCCCTTGTTTAGGGATTACTTATTTTCATATATGGTTGCCCTCGAATATGTGAAAAAAAGAGTTTCAGAGAGAATATTTGTAATTTTTCAGTTTCTGGCATATTCCTCACCTTATTATTTTGACTTGCAAAGATCGAGTTATGATTTTTCTAAGCAAAATATAAAACCATTTAATGTGCCAGTTGCTTAGGGAATGACTCAATTTAATTCACCATATACATAGTCTTATAAACTGCATCAAAATTTGCCCTTTGATATTTGTAGATGTTGTCTGAATAAATAACAAAAACATATAGACAGAAGAAGATGCTGATTCAGTTATAGTGATGATAATTTAAATATAGTTAAAAATGGTAGTCCGTTAATATGTTAGCAAGAGATGCTTTTTATCCAAACTGAAAAATAACAAAGGTAGCACTTTTCACTGTTTCTGACTACCATGCTCTCTAGGAGTCCACAAACAGTTTGATTTCCATGCTGTTGACAAATCATTGTTCTCACTCAGTGAGCGTGAAGAATGAACTTTGAGGATAGGCCTCCTAAAGTAAACTTTTCCCCTATAACAATCAGTCTTATTCTATGAGAATAAGGCTAGACCTTGAGGTAACTTCTTATGCTACTTAATGATTTTGTGACCCAATTAACAATTAAATAATTTAAATGTCCTTTATTCTTGTCCTCTTTCTAGCTCCATCTGAGGTGATTTTTTCATTCGATGTTGGAAATGGACCTAGTGAAGTTACAGTGAAATCACCTATTTCCTTAAATGACAACCAATGGCATTATGTGAAGGCTGAGCGGAACATCAAAGAAGCATCCTTACAAGTTGATCAACTTCCTCAAAGGTTTCACAGTGCTCCACCTGATGGGCATATTCGCTTGCAGCTCAACAGCCAGCTTTTTGTAGGTAGGCACTCATTTTCCAGAATCTTTCCAAGCTATCATCATGAAAACATTAAAAGAAAAGAAAAAGAAAAAAAAAAAAAAAAAAAAGATGGCAATTGGGTCTTTTGAAAACAGTTTGTATGATGAGATGAAAACCTTTGTGAAAATCCATGGAGATGTAGCTCTGTTGTGAGATTACAAATTCAGTGCTTTAGCTTGCAATTAGTGCTGGATAGGATTTCAACCAGTTTTCTTCTTTTGAGGTTTGTTTGAAGAACAACTAAAGGATTTCCAGTTGCACCATTTTTTGAGAGGATGCCATCTGACGAAGGAAAATGATTTATTTTTGTAATTTCGAGGAAATTTTGTTGTATCTATTCATTCACAACTTCTCAGGTTGCCCAGAAAAGTTGTTAGTGCCCTATCATTGTAAGAGTTTAAGGTCATCTTGGATGGGGCTTTGACCAACCTGATCTAACTAAAGATGGCCCTGTCTGTGGCAGGGGGGGTGGACTAGATGATCTTTAAAGGTCCCTTCCAACCCAAACCACACTGTGATCTACTCCTCTGACCTTTGCTAACACACTTAAGGAAATAATCAGACTGTGTTTACTCAGTATTGGAAAAAAAGAAAAAGGGACTATTCTTGTGTTTCGCACAACCAGGAAAAATCCATATCTACAGTTGGTTCTGTCTAAACTGTAGAACCTTCAAAGGAAGAAGTTTACCTGAGTATTCCTGCTTTTGTGTTTTAGTAAATATGACATTAATATCTTTAGGTAAAACACAGGAAAAGCAGAACTGGAGCAACAAAAACTAATGTTTATTTAGGTATTCCATAGAGCTGTGTAGAGCTGTCTTATGCACTGATAGTGTTCTTACTCTAATGTTGCCATATTATGAATTTATAAGTTTCTGGTGTATAATTGTGGTATACAATATAACAGCATGTAATTCTGCCCTACCTTTAAACAGATCTTAATCTACATCCTCTGTGAGGCACATCATACTAAATGAATATATGTTTTATTTGCAGTGTTTTGGGGAGGAGTGTGACTAAGGGGAATGGTGTTCTGAAACTTTAGCTACAGAAACAGTGAATCGTTAGGAAAAAATTAAATGTCAAGGGAACCCTTGTATGCTGGAATTAGAATTCTGACCTGTGCCTCAAAAAGCATCAAGGATAGAAGGTGGAGACTTGAAGAATCTTATATTTTGATTAAAAGCATGGAGAGGGTTTGTATAATAAAGAAAATATCGGAGATATTAGCTATAGTGTAGTTAGGAGAAGTCTTAAAATTAGTTTATGTTCACAGTAAAGGACTAGAACTATTAATGGAAGGACTAGGAGATTTCTGTTTATCATACTGCAATAAATTATGTTGCTGTCCTCTGACTTGTCTTGACACATAATTGCTATTGTATGAAGAGTTGAATTTGCAAGGTTTGACCTGTGAAGCAAAACTAAGAAATGGTCTAATTCTATAGGTTGTTATGGTAATATCAAGTTTAAACTGTTTTCTAATTATTTTGAAAATCAATTGATCTCTATTTCTTTTAACCCTCCTCCCAAACAATCTAATACTGTACTAACCTTTATTGACTATTGCACTTTCTGACTTTTTTTATGAAACAATTGGCCTTTGAATAGAGTGATTTTTTCTATCAAATAATTTAACGAATTCTATAAAATTTATATACATGAATCTCCTGTCTGGAGCTGACAGTTTAAAAACTGTTTTTACTTATTTACAAGCAAGCTTGTTTTCTTCTGATAATATTCAGGTGAATAATTATATTAGAAAAATGATTCTGTTGTTTTGCTTCGGTGTTGTGCGGTTTTTTGCTCTCTGAAAATTCTTGAAGATCCTGAGGGTAAAATGGAATAACGTTCACCATAGTACTGTGTACCTGGAAGCCCCTAATGAGTTTGTACAATTATTTTGAATTAATTTGGGGCAGAACTCATTAAAATGGTGTTTTTTTAATTTTATTCAATGAAAACAGTGTTTTTGAAGTGTGACATGACAAATGATAGCGATTCATTTGAATCATTTGTGCCACTCACTTCCTGTATTTAAATTGTGAACATTTCTATGACTGCAGCAAGTTTTTTTGGATAATTTGTTTCTGCAACTGTGATATTGTCATGTTGACCAATATAGTGTCTGGTTTATTTTGTGTTTGAGTGAAACCAGTCTTTTGGATAACGTAACTTTTTATCACTCACAACTATTTATAAAATATTTTAATCTCTTCAATTAAATGTAGTTTTATTCAGTGGAGGAAGTAATGAGACTTACTGTTTGTCCACTTCCACTGACAGTGCACTGGTACAGATTCAGATGTCCGCTCAGGCCAGTGATAGAATCTAGAGAAAAATGAAACATACAGTGTCCTAAGAATGACATTAGCAGAGGCACTCTTTACTTAAATGTCATTTTATATACCTAGTACCTGCCATAGTCAACCATCAGTCAGTAACTAACATACTAGGACAGTGATTTCTTCAGGCTAAAACACTCTGTCTTTACTTCTTTGATGTATATATTCTGTTTTTCCAAAGAAGCCAGAAGAAGAACTAAAGCATAAAGTTGCCATTAAAATGCTCATTTTAGCAGAGATAACATAAATTATTCATATTGATAGGCAGTTATGCGCCATTATATCTGTAAATAACAACAGTTATGTCAAGATTTTCAAACTAACACCAGGAATTTTACAAAGTAAATAGAGAAGGATGAAATAGAGAAGGTGAAAGAAATAGAGAAGGATGAAAATGGATCATCACATGGAAACATTTAACCAAAAGTTAATTGTAAATGCATGAGAATTATAGTTGGTAAACTTACGTATTGTGGAGTGTTTTCTGGTGTTACTCTTTAAAAGAGAACAAATGGCAGGAAATATCAGAGTAAGTCATGCAACAAATGATAAGAGAGATGGTATGTAGATTGCACACTTTGCTAAGCAGTCAGGATGAATGAAAATGTAGCTGTCACAAAGTGTGCTAAAAATAAACAACAGTGAAAAAAATGAAGCAAAAATTATTGTTAGCCTTAGGATTGCCCTGTATCTTTATCACATATGCTTGTGGTTGGGTGCATCCTGACTGGTATTCCTCTGTAGTGAGGTGGATAAACCTTCCTGTTACTCAGGAGCGGACAAAGCTTTCAATATGGGACAAAATATTTCAGGCCAGACATCAACAGTGGGATGTTATGATTGCTTGATCAGTCAGCAGGACCTTGAAAGAGTAAAACTCTACAGCTCATGACTTTCCCATCTCCTTTTTTCCTTTTATTTTTCCTTTTCTTCATCTCCTTTTTTTTGTGTGTGTGTGTCTTTTTTCCCCTCTCCTCTCCTCTCCTCTCCTCTCCTCTCCTCCTCTCCTCTCCTTCTTTAAAAAAGAAAAAAAAAAGAGAAAACCACCTAATTTCTTGATCTCACTCCTTTTTGAGGTAATAGAATTATGCGTCATTGCTTGGTATTTCACTGTGAGGAATCCACGTTTCCCATTAAAAACTTCAAAGGTTCACCATAATTCTTTGACCAAAAATAAATCAGATATGCTTTTAAAGTTATTTATAAATATTTTCACATGCATAGGCTTGTATCTTAGAAATTCATAACAGACTGCTCAGGAGCTGTGAAACATAAAGAGGTTTTTGCACATCAGTTCTTTTAAATTTTTAAAAGCTCATGTGAATTTATTTCAGGTGGGACAGCATCGAGGCAGAAAGGATTTTTGGGATGCATTCGTTCATTACAGTTGAATGGAATAGCCCTTGACCTGGAAGAGAGAGCAAAGATAACACCAGGAGTTGAACCAGGCTGTCCTGGACATTGTAGCAGCTATGGTAACTTGTGTCACAACGGTGGAAAATGTAAAGAGAAATACAGTGGATTCTCCTGTGACTGCACTTTCTCTGCCTATGCTGGGCCATTCTGTAAGAAAGGCAAGCATGTCTTTTAGCTTTATCAGTTACTGAACACAGGACAATACAGTCCAGAACAAGATCTTTACAGTCCTTTAAAGATATGTTTAAATGTTTGCAAAATATTTATGCTTTACTTAATCTAGAGAAACACTCAACTGATTTTTTTTCTGTCTTTCAAGTCTTAATCTCAAAACTAAAACTAAATTTGGAAAACAAACCAAGAAGCAGAAGAACCTTATACTTCTTTTTACTGTAAGAAGATAGTGAGATCATCAGGAACAGGACTGAGCTCATATTTTCAACCATTTTGAAGGAGTTCTTGGGTGATAGTGTCCTACCGGTGGATGATCACAAGTGGTCAAGTTTGAATTTTAAGAAAGGAATTTGATCTAGAACTTTTGGTATTTACACATAATTCTGATCTGCAAAAAAATTACTTGCTTCATGTATTAAATACATTCTGCAAAGCACTCAGTGGCTTAAATACCATAACTCCATGTTGTTCTAAATTAGTGAGCACAAGATCTGACAAAAAAACTATTGTCATCACAAGAATAAAGAACTTGTGTGAACTCGTTCCACACCTGTAGCTGTGGACCTAATGTAGTTGAGTGAGGAATGATACTTTCCTCCTGCCCTGCAAACAGCAGAAGAAATTAATCGTCACGCTTGGTGTTTATTATTCTGCAGAGGCAGATTGGCTCCTGTTGCTGAAAGTGGGGGATGACCTACAGTAATAACATTCAGTCACGTTCTGTCAAAGATACTGAGGCAGATTACAGAAACTTCCAGAAATTTTCTGAAGCATGGAGTTTATAGGTGAAAATAGCATAGTCTAAGACAGTTGTAGCAGAAAATGTCTGTGAGATACCACAAAGATAAAGAAGCCTTCTGTGAGTGATTTATCTATAAGAAGACCATAACCCAGTTTGTATTCTCCTTTTCTTTCTCCCACATGACAAGTCTCTTCCCACATGTGTTTCAGGTGTGGCCAAGTCCAATCAATATGTTAGGATTCAATCTGCTGCACCCATTTCTCTATAGGAGCACTATACATACAATATGGGACATATTGGGCTGGAGGACATGAATAAAAAGGAAAAAGCAGAAAGCATGTTTAAAACTAGACAAAAAGAAGCACTTCATGCAACAGATATTTAGGACACATGTCTAACTGGGCTTTTGCTCTAGCCCAGGTTTGGTCTTATTTTTTTCTATGGTTCTAATTGCTAGTTCCATTTGTATTTCTTTTTCATCTTTATCAGAATAGTTTAAAATGCATTTTATTTTGTTCTGTGGCAGAAATTTTTTATTTTTTTTTTAAAAAAAAGCTTTAGTCTTGTTTTGGATGATATTAAAAAACTGTATTACTTTTTGTTTCAGAGGTCTCTGCCTATTTTGGGACTGGCACTTCTGTGACATACAATTTCCAAGAATACTACATGTTAGCTAAAAATTCCAGTTCTCATGCTTCTTCTTTCTACGCTGACATGACACTGAACAGGGAAGCAATTACATTTGCCTTCCGAACAACACGGACACCGAGCTTACTGTTTTATGTCAGCTCCTTCTACAAGGAATACCTCTCAGTCATTCTCACCAGAAATGGTGAGTGTTCAGATAAACTGTCTGGAAATACTAATGAATGTTATAGCTGCCAACTCAGACTCCCAGACCTAAACCACAAACTAAACGCTGTCCTTGTTGTTGCTTTAAATGGTATATTTATTTTTCATCTGCACCAAGCAATGTTTTTGACATGAAAAACATTCTTCTTACTGTAATTTCAGCTCTTACTACTGTTTTCTTTTCATCATGTTGGCAAAAATACGTACTTCTGGACATGCTGTAGAAATGCAATAAAGTATCTCAATTTCTTTTTTAAGTTTTGAAATGAAACTCAAAATGTGTCTGATCTGTCTGCTACTTGTGCAGCAAGTTGCCATGGGAATTGCCATTCTTATGATAAACAATGAAATAAACTAATTTTTGAAGGTGCGTTACCTATTTTCCGAATTAATCAGAGGTCATTTCATTCAACTAATTTTATAAGCTACTTACATACCTGTGAAAATGCACATAATGTAGTTGATGTTTCAGTTTAAACTGAATATTAAATTAGTTGGAGCTTTCTTTTCCATTCTTTGTTCTACATAGATATATATATATATTTAAATTAAAAAACCCCATAGACAGAGTTGAATCTCTGGGTTTATCAAAGACTCTTTGCAGTCACTTGGTTCTGTGCTCAAAGAAGGTTCTGTGCTTTCCTGGATGCAGATTTGGATGTAGAATAACTGTAGTATCTTCCCCATCATGTGAGGTTGAACACATTTTACTCACGACTGGCCTGGGTCTGGCCCGGACCTTGCTTCCCAAAAAATGAGTAGAAAGTTGTAGCCCGTCTACGGCTGTGAGGGAACATCTGACAAGGAAACTACGCTGCTCCTGTGTTCTGCTGGGAAAGAG